GTAGTATTCCCTGCACCATCTCTCCACTATACGGAGAGCCGCTTGGGTCAGGTCGCACACTATGCTTGCTGTCTTTCCCGAGACCAGTATTGTCGGGTCATCAGCATAACCTACTGTATAGAAGTGATTAGTATTTAATTTGCTGATGTGTTCATTAATGATCATATTCCACAGGAGAGGTGAGAGAACCCCACCCTGCGCGCAGCCTTTCTTAATTTGGATTGGTTGAGATTCACCAGCAATCTTTATTATTCGTTTACTGAGCATGCAAACTATCCAGTCGATCAGTGCCGGTTCAACTTTATGTCTACCACCTTTTATGCTGGAGAAGTTCGTTCTGTCAAAAGCACCTTCTATATCTATGAAGGAACCTAGACATATTTCTTTGTTTTGGATGGCCTCTTCAATCTTTGTAATTACCTGATGAAGTGCCGATTCTGTTGATTTGCCTAGACTGTAGGCGTGTTGCTTGTCGTGTAGTGGTAAGTTCATTAGCACCGACCCCCTTAATTCCCTTTCACACATCCTCTCCATCGTCTTTAGGAGAAAGGATGTGAGGCTAATGGGCCTGTAGGATTTAGGGTCAGTGTAATCGCTCTTACCTGGTTTGGGTATAAATGTGACTTTCACTTCCCTCCATCCCCTAGGAACATATTTAAGAGCCAGACAGGCTCTCATTATGGCAACAAGTCTGACTATTAGGGCTTTACCCCCCCCCCCACTGTAGGAGTGCCGGGAATATGCCGTCAGGTCCTGCCGCCTTATAGGGGAGGAAACTGTGAATGGCCCAATGGATTTTGTCCATCGTTACACTCTCTGTGCTAAATTCCAGTCTTCTACTGTTGGTGTCGGTATGTCGTCATGCCGGTTTGCCTCCTGGGTTACGCAGCAACCTGGGAAGTGCGTTTGAATTAGGATGCGTTGGGCTTCATCCGGCGGTGTTGAGTAGCTACCGTCGGATTTCTTTAGAGACATGGATCCCGACGTGTTCTGTTTAGCTAGAATATTCCTTATCCTATTTGCTTGTTCGCAGTTTCTATGTTGCCACAGAATTTACGCCACCCAGTCGAGCGTCGATACCTGATCCATTTTTTGTATTCAGACTTACCTTTCTTATATAGTAGCCAGTCTTCATCCATTGAGGTATTCATGGCCCTATTTAGGGCTTTTCTTACCTTCTTACGTTTCCTATCGAGTTCTTCACCCCACCACTGTTGCTTTACCTCGGCATGCCTTGGTGGAGTGATTTCTGGACATGATTCATGGTAGCTATCTATCAGGCGTAGCTGCTACCTGTTCTTCTAGGAGCGACTGATCTGCTATAGTATTTATCCCCTCAAAACCCGCGAGCGAAGACGTCAGCCTATTTAGGTATTTTGTTTTATCATGCCCAGCCCCAACCCACGGCTCCTGGATTAAGGCTATGGCAGTCCTTTGAACCTCCAACCACTTGCGTAATTGAGCCGACGCAGTTTCGCTGTGGTAGAGGTTGGCCTGCACTAGGCTAGTTTTGGACGAAGGGCACGCCATCATTGATCGCGTCCTCCTCGTCCCCGCCCAATTATAGGGTGGTGCCACTATAGCTACGGGGTAAATTTTAAAGAACGCACCGAAAAATATTAGTGGGATATCACTTTTTCGAGGTTATATTTACTAATTAACATTATTTAAGATTTTAGAGCTACTGAGCAGTTTAGCAGCATACTTAAACCGTCGACAATGTAATTTTCATCCCAGTAGCTACTCCAGCGCTGTTGTGGAGAGTTTTTGAACTGTTATTTACTGCTTACAGATGACCACTTTTTCAACTATTTTAGTATGGAGAGTTGGTACTCCTTACTTCTACACTCCATACCCCGATATTTATCTATGGATACACCCGTGTACTTCTACGTGTTGTAGGTCCTGTTGTACGTCCAAATCGACAGAGAATATGAGTTTCACCTTTCATCTCTAGTATATAAACAGTAATCTATGACCTTTCACTTCCTCGGCATGACGTGGCAATTCACGCATTTGGTTGTTTTGAATAAAATAAAAGATCTAAATTCTGATGTATTTACAAGCAATTTAATAATAATTTATAATATATTATAGTACGTGAAGGTAATATGATCATGCGGTTAATAAGGGTCACTTTCTTATAACTCAAAAACTACAGCCTTGTTTGCATAGATGGCTTTGTAATACGATAGCTATTCATCGGTCAATCAAATAATAAAGGTTCAAAAGAGCGATGCTTTATCGACGCCATTTTGACGGAGAAAGTAAAAATATTTTAGTCGATTTTAGTATGGTGTAGTGTACCTAGTCAGTTTTTTTTTAAGTAAATTTTATGAAGTGTTTCTTATTACAGCCAAAGCTTGTTTGTTCTTTTTTTCTTAATATATTGGTTATAGTACACGAAGTTGTGTTTTTGTCTCTGTTCTTCTCCTAGTTTTGGTTTTATAGGGCGGCAAAGCTTAAGGTGACCACATTACACTCACGTACCTTTTTTTTTTATAGAAGAGGGGGCAAACAAGCATGCGGCTCACCTGATGTTAAGTGATTACCGCCGCCCATGATCAACCGCAACACCAGGGGAATTGCAGGTGCGTTGCCGGCCCTTTAGAAAGAAGTAAGCTCTTTTCTTGAAGGTTCCCCAGGTCGTATCGGTCCGGAAAAATCGCCGGTGGTAAACTATTCCACAGAAAGGTTGTACGCGGAAGAAAACTACTTTTGAAACGTACAGTGGCGGACCGCCAAGCATCCAGATGGTGTGGATGGTATCGGGACGTTTGCCGCGTAGTGCGTTCACGAAATTTGGCGGCTGGGATTAATCCGAACAATTCCTCAGAGCACTCTCCATGGTATATGCGAAAGAAAATGCAAAGAGATGCAACATCTCTTCGCAATGCCAGTGAATCGAGCCGATCGGAAAGCACTCGGTCGTCGACTATTCGAGCCGCTCTGCGCTGGATGCGGTCAAGTGGAAGGAGCTGGTACTGGGGAGCCCCAGCCCAGAGATGGGAACAGTATTCCATATGCGGCCGAACCTGCGCCTTGTAAAGTTGCAGGCGGTGTGCCAGCATGAAATACTGTCCCGCTCTGCTGAGCACGCCAAGCTTTTTTAGAGGCCAATTTGGCCTTCCCTTCCAAGTGACCACGAAACTGCACGTCACTCGGAGGATCCTCGCGTGTCGATTCAACTTGTGTCTTCTGGGGGGTTAAACTGGACTAGATTTAGTCGCCCCCAATCCGAGACTCTGTTCAGCAAAGACTCGACTTCAGACACAAGTTTATTCCGGCACTCGGAGACGTTTTCCCGAGAAATATTGGCTCGGCCGGTGTAAAGAGCATCACCAGTGCTGTCATCTGCATAGCAATGAATGTTACGGGTTTGCAACATATCATTGATATGCAGAAGAAATAGCGTTGGCGATAGCACGCAGCCCTGTGGAACACCAGCATTAATAGGCTTGCAATCGGAGCTTGCACCGTCAACAACGACCTTGATGCTCCGATCTGCAAGAAAGCTGGTGATCCTATCGCAACAATTTCTCGGGAAGCCCATAGGAAGGGAGCTTCGAAAGAAGCGCTTTGTGCCAAACTTGTGAAGGCCTTCGCAATGTCCAAACTAACGGCCAATGCCTTCCCCTTGAACTCTACTGCCTCCGCCCATCTGTGAGTTAGGTAGGCCAGAAGATCACCAGCTGACCGACCACGGCGAAAACCGTATTGGCTATCACTAATCAGCTGGTGATCCTCAAGGTACATTGTACAAGTTTACAATGGACTCCATTGTTTTGGAGAACAAGGAGGTGATGGCGATAGGCCGGTAGTTGGATGGGTCTGAGCGGTCGCCTTTTTTAGGGATCGGGTGGATGAAAGCCGTCTTCCATGATTTTGGGACAACGCCTAGCGAGTAGGAGTACCTTACTATACACGTGTATTAAACAATATTGTAAAACAGTCAATGCAGCCTTTGATTATAGGCTTAGTGGTCAGGTGGTCGCAAACACGATTGCAGTGATGAGGAGTTATTAAAATTCTTAGTACCAGGCCTGGGTCTCGAAGTTGTCGGTGTTGCACCAAAACGTAAAGCCGTTAGTCCTGCGCCTGATCTCTCTCCAGTCGTGTCGGTTTACCGTCCCATCGGACTATGAGAGTGAGGGAATAGAGAGTGCACCTGTGCTTGCGCATACACTTGGGGACACTATTATCCTGTCCTGCGCCGATGACTAGTCTCCGTTGACTGGCCGCCGTGACCGAAATTCAGTCTAGAGAACATTATAGGAAGCCACAAGGTCTTCTTAACATATCTTGGTATCGTCTCCTCTTACGTAATCCGTAAGACGAAATTGAGTGAAAACATTTCACAGTCCACACACAACCAATAAAGTATAAAAAGAGCCCATTAGTCTTCTGTGCTCCAGCCATTCCGAAGATAGCTTAGCCCGGACAGATATTTTTTTAAATTGTTGTTTGTGTCCTAAAATTATGTAAGTAACCCCCCTGAACTTAATAGAAACCAGTTTTCTTTTATAAAATAAGGGTGACGCACAGTCGTCTTGTTGGTAAGTTGATCCTGTGGCCCATAAACATTTAGATTTATCCATGATTAAGAATCAAAACGCAGATGCGTTGTCACCCGAGGGGACTATGATGGAATGCCTCGTTTCCAGTAACAAGGGACTCCGGTTCTCTACACTCATCATACGAAACACAGCAGTATTAAGCTTCTATTTTATGCTGGTATTCTGAGAGAGCGTGGTCCTTCCCCGGTCAAGCCGACCCATTCGTGCTACAACCATAATGTTAGCTGCAGCGTGGCTCTACCACGTAATAGTTATTTCAATAATACAGTTATTTTATTACAGTTACCAGTTATTTCAGTATAGCATAGAGACACTTCAATTTATATTATATTATATCCCTCAGAAATGAGAGGCAGTCTCTATTTAGTGGAAAGGTGTAATTTTATTTCGTTAGTTTTTGTTACATTCGCAGTTTTTACACAATCACTTCTCAACAATTTCAAACTTGAAGTTATTTTCGTGCAGTCTCTTGATAAGATCCGTGTCACTGAACGCGTACCCCGTTGTCAACACACCGCCCCTGAAAGTCGAATATAATATTAAAAATTGTTAAGTGCTGTTACAATCTATTAAAGTCCACTGCTGAACACAGGCCTGTCGCACAGGCCACCTCATCAGAGGGGATATTTGCCACAGTTGCCACGTGTGGCAAGCAAGTTAGCAACCACAATTTTTTATTTTTAATCGTTATGATTAGATGCTACTGCCTTTCTCCTGATTTGTTTCCCTCTGGCGCCTCTTACGACAACCACGGTAAAATAAAATATTTAAAAAATTATTTATGTATAATTCCTTTCAGTTTTTTTAACGAGCACACGATCCAAGTGATGGCAAACATCCACTTGCCATCAGTTGGATCGTGTGCTCGGATGTCGCCTTTGTTCCTTATTAAAAATAAGTAGATTTTCTGATAAGAGAATACACTGACATACATAGCTTCACGCCTGTAATTCCGGAAGGAGTAGGCAGACTTCAAAGAGGAACGAGCTACTCGGACCACGTTTAGCCAAAAATATGGGCTTAGAAGAAAAATCTAAAAAAAATGAAAGAAGTGAGAGAACCCTAACTCATCACCAGCAGAATCACAAACTCAATATCCTATTCGTTGCCACATTATTTTTTGTGACAAGTCCCATATAAACAAGGGAATAATAAATCGCAGACCAACAAAATGTCCCCGAATCCTAAATATTACCAATTTTAAACTATCGATACAAAAACACCTGTTAAAAGCGTTTACGGCTTAGAATATTCAAAGGTATATGAAATATATCGCTATTCGACAGTACTCATTATATCATTTTTGGTAATCACGAAGATATTTTTTTATATAATAAGTATGACAAACGAGCACACGGTCCACCTTATGGTAAGTGGATGCTGTGGCCCATAGACATCTACATCTATCCTTGATTAGGAATCAAAATGCAGATGCGTTGTCACCCGTAAGGACTAAGATGGAATGCTTCATTAAAATATTTAATACAATTCGATCTTGGTCGGCACCGATTGTTAACCACCAGGAAGTTGGTAACTGCAATTTTATGTGCTAATTTACCACGTGATCTGTGGTGATGGAAAACATGTCTTCATCATAAAAAACTTGTATGTTAAAGAAATAAAAATATTGCAATGACCAACTTTATTTATTTAATATGATAACGAAATATGAAGTCCACCATTACGCAACGTGGCATCAAGGCGGACCAAAAAAGAGAAAAGACCTAGCTGTGAGGCGCATAAAGGTTGTAATTTTACTTTTAACCGATACGGAACTGGAATTTTTTTTTCGACCGACTTAAAAAAGGAGGAGGTTCTCAATTCGACTGTATTTTTTCATGTTACCTCAGAACTTTATTTAGGTGAACCGATTTTGATTTCTTTTTTTGTTAGAATTTGAAAGCTGGTGCTTCTCGTGTCGTCCCATGTACATTTTTATCAAGATCTGACTAGTAGTTTTTGAGTCATCCTTAGTAATGTGTATTTAATTGACTTCGACTGCACTGATGTTCTCATTTTATTTATATTCAAGTCGGTTGTAATTTTTTTTAATTTTACCATTTGTTAGATCAACATTTTGATTAGTGATCTCTTCACTGTGGACTTAGAATAACGAGCGCGCAGTCTACTTAGTAAGCTGCGGCCCATTGACATCTACATCTATCCTCGATTAAGAATCAAGATGCAAATTCGTTGTTTAAAAAAAGGGTATTTGGTTCTCTACAAACACCATACGAAACACTTCAATTTAAGCACTGCTAAAGAGTCCTGCAATTTTGCTCCTAAGGAGTTGGAGACAGCAAGTTTTTAGGGACGACACTAGATTGTGTCGGGAAAGGTACCTCTATGCGCCTTCATAGCTTAGCAAATTCGTATAGGATGAGATGGGATAATGTATATGGGTTGCCAGCATAATTCATGATCCATGCTGTAGCTGTCTTATGGTTGTAAAACGAATGGGTCGGCTCGACCGGGGAAGAACCACGCTCTCAGAGAATAACAGCGTGAAGTAACAGCTTAATGCTGTGTTTCGTATGGTGAGTGTAGAGAACCGCAGACACTTTCTACGGGAAACGAGGCATTCCATCATAGCTCAGGGATGACAACGCATCTGCATTTTCATTTTTGATTGAAGGTATTTGTGGATGTCTGTGGGCCACAGCATACACTTACCATCAGGTGGACTGCGTGCTCGTTCGTCAACCTCGTTCTGTAAAAATAAGTCTTTAAGTATTATATCTTACAGGTTAGGCATTTTATCTTTTTCATCAAGTATCGTCAGTGCTGAATGCAACAGCGCCACCACAGTGGCGCCATAGCCCGGGTTCGTTCCCGATACCTGAAATATTCTGTATAATCAATAAGCAATTTTGTACATGTAAATATTGTGGCAGATTGTAAAAATGTTATTCGAACATGAATATGAAAACATGACAATATATGTAGATGTCTATGGGCCACAGCAACCACTTACCATCAGGTGAACTGTGTGCTCATTTGTCACCATTATCTTATAAAAAAAAGTATATTTTTCGTCTAACCGTCGTTGTGATTGATTATTTTATAGTTTTCAATTAGCGTCAACAAAAAATCAATTTGGCTACGTCTGCTGTTCTTTGTATTGCGGCGCCGGCGACGTTGACAACGGGCTACGATAACCTAAACGATGACAACGAACGTTGCAACTAACGAGGGATAATAATTTTACGCTAACCAGATGTCGCTAGTTGATAGCGAGGTGAAAAAGGACAGGAACGAGGGAAGGGTCTTCGTCACGGCTCGTTCAGCAGCGGACTCCCTAACCTATGACACCTACGTTGGGTTCGGGAACAACGTATGTGAACCCCGCAACGGAGTAACACACAAGGGCGTCGACCTCTTCTTTTTCTTCAAATAGGTTCAGGTTACGGGTCTTCCGAGGTCGTCCCGGTCCCAACGCCTTAATTCTTCAATATGTGCCGCGCTAGCGACACCAATGAACTGTACTTTATTTTAAAGGTGAAGGATCCTTTGGGAATAAAACAGTAATTATCTTCAAACCGTTCCGTGAGAGAGTAATTACTTTCCCTATCGCTTCCCTATATACTTTTCTTTCTTGATTATATTATATACTGGAAGCTGGTCCCGAACGAATTGTATCGTCGTCGTTGTCTTCTGCAAGGCGTAATGCCATGCAGGTCTCGGGCCTCGGGGTACACCCCTTTACCCGGATGTTCCTCACGGCACACTGCAATGTGCCGGTCCTGGGCGCCTTAATGGTAAAAGGCGTGTTGTTTTAGCGACCTTTGTCGCAGTCGAGTAAAATGTCATTAAGGGAGGTTATCTATATAATTGTGTTTAAACACAAATTATTTTGTCAAAGTTGGCGTTTCTGCGGCATTGTGGGGTTTACTCGACTCCCTAATCTATATAGGGAGGAGTTCTCTTGGATAGGGTCGCCCGTCCGGCGGCCGTGAGTGCAACGGCGCGAAGCCGTTGAGATGTTCATGTGGCCCGTTGTCGGCGCGGTCGAACATACCGCGCGCCAGCCGGACCACGAATTCCTGTAGGCTCTCTATCTTTAGGTTGGCCGCTATGACGTCGTTCCGGACGTAGCGACCCGCACCGACTATAGTTCGTAATGACAAACTCTGCTGGGCCTGAAGTCGCCGCTTCTGATGATCGCTCAGGAGTGCATACCAGGCCGGAGCAACGTATGTTAGCAGGGATCTTATGTATGTTTTGTAGATGGTTAACTTCGACTTTGTCGGTAACTTGGATGTCAGGACAGGGCGGAGCATTGCCCGCGCACATCGAGCTTTGCGTATAGCAAAGTCGATGTGTGCAGTCATGCGCAACATCCTGTCGATCCGGCATCCAAGGTAGGTCATGGCCTTCTCATATGCGATCTCCTGGCCTCCGAGGGTTAGCGGTGGTGGTAGATTTCTATAGCGGCGAGTGAGCAGAGCGGTCGTCTTGCTAACATTGACGGCCATCCTCCACTCATCCAACCATAGTGGCAGCAGGTCCAGCAGACGTTGCATCCTGGCAGCTGCAATGTGGGCTCTTCTGGACGACGTGAAGTATGCGCTGTCATCCGCAAAAGCGCTAGTTCGACGTCGTCCTCCCATTCGTGCAAGTGTCCTGCCAGGGTAGGTATGTCATTGGTGTATGCCGCGTACAGGACTGGAGACAGACAGCTGCCCTGTGGCACACCAGCTGTTATGGGTTTTATTGCGGACTCGGCGTCCTCTACACAGACGTAGAACTTCCTGTCTACGAGGAAGGACGCCACTAGCCGCAATATAGCAGGAGGGATACTAGTCTGATCGTCTAACTTATAGAGTAATCCTGTGTGCCACACCCGGTCGAACGCCTTCTCGATGTCGAGAAAGACGCCCAACGATGTGCGGCCGCGGTTGTGCTCGGCCGCAAACAGGTACAGCACTCTGGTCAGCTTTGTTGCTGTTGAGTGATCCCTCCTGAATCCATGCTGCTCCGCCCGAAGTTGGATGCACGGGCGGAGACGTCTTAGCAGTAATATTTCGCACAGTTTAGCTATATGCGGTAGCAGCGTGATCGGCCTGTAATTGGCAGCTCTACGCCTGTCCTTCCCGGGTTTCGGCAAGACGATGACTTTGCCTTTCTTCCAGTCCTCCGGGAAGTGGGATGTCCGCAATATGCCATTGTAGAGCCGACCTATCTCTACAAGGACTCTATTGGGCAGCTGTCGCAGTGCAGCGTTAGTAATCCCATCGTGCCCGGGCGCCTTCCTCGGTTGCAGGCGGGTTACTGTCCTCCGCAGTTCAGCGGGGGAGATGAACTACTCTCCTGCAAGCGGTGGCGCGGGCGACGACAGGAGCTCCTACACGCGGCTCTCCTTCCGGGTGTGGATTTCCAGGAACTCCGCACTTGCTGGGTTCGGAATAAACTGCTCCTCGAGACATACATTTATACATTTTATTTATAAAGATAGCACAAAAAAATATCTATACTATGATATACATTACATTTTTATATCACAAAAAACCTTTTATTTATTCAACAAAATATGCCTATTTTACAACGTATTGTACTAAGTTAGAATTCTTAAATGTCTAACATATAAGGTTGAAACAATGTTCTTCATTTGAAATTATAAATATCTTAAATAATACAATAGTTTAATTTACATTTTTCCTATACATTTTACTATTTAAAACACTTTTAAATTTCTTACACAAAACTATCAATATTTCACTAATCCAAAGGAATTTTCACATGAAAATAACACAGAATTCACCTATTTTGCTCATACAGTCAATCTGAAATATTTTACAAGTCAATTTTACATGAATTGCTGAAATTTGCAAATATTTAAATTTCTACTTATTTTGACCTCCTAAGTACAAGGTTAACGCGCGGCTATGAACTCGCGCTATTTGAACAACTAATTCTTACACGACCCTCAATTGTCGGTAAAAGGTGGCAAATTTAGCACACACTGCTATCAACCAATACTAGGTGAACAACTGATTCTACACGACTCTCAAATGTCCGAAATTATTTCTAACTAGATTCTTATTAGCTATCATGTTTCTTATCAGATAACATAAACAAAATATTTTATGAATCAAATTGAAAATAAACATTTTATTTTCATACAAAACGTATCAAATTTATATAAGATAATACTTATGCAATTAATTTCCATTAATTCTATTTATACACAAAGTGATCATTTCGACCGGGAAACAAATCCTGGTCTCTAACTTTATTTTAATATTCCTTTAAATTAACAATATTATTGAAAAGGTGATTTCAACCGGGGAACTGAACCCGGAAACATAATTTATATCTTAAAAATTCCCTATATGAATTTATTAAGATAATATTACTAAGAAAACGATAAACTAGTCCGGCCTGGGAATCGAACCCAAGACCTTCAAATTATTAATTCGATATTTCTTTAAGATTCAACTAAGTGTTTTCTTATTAGAATATTATTGCTCGATAATTTGTTTTTAGAAGCTGTTCGTAATCGGTTAACTAATAAATTGAAATATTCTTATAGACGCGTCGCCAACATGAGGTGACTCCAAACCAAAATACTTTAAGCAGTTTAAAAAAAATCGTTGTCTATAAAATCGGTTTACGGACGATAGTTTAACGTGACAACGTCATAACCGTAGATAGAGAAACCTAGGTTTCTCTGTCTACGGTCATGTACGGTCAAAACATTGATGAAATGATTTGAACAGAATAACGCTCAAGCCTATCGTGCCTTTCGCTCGTTCGTGCCGCCCTCTCGCTACAATCGTCTTCGGATTGGCGTAACGGGACAAATAAGTTATAGGTCGCACCACCAAAGATGAAATTAAATAGTCTACTGCGCATGTACAATCAAGCAGAAAAATGAAAATTTTATTATAGCATTTTAATATGTAAAAAGTCAAAGGTCAACATAATAACTACACATCAAAGTCTCCACGAAAACGGAACGATATATTTACATATAATCGTTAGGTTTTAACTGCTTCTAAATAATATTCTGCATTTTATCTACACTTAGTTAAAGAAATAAAATATTTTGTATTTGGATTTTTGTATTTGTAAATGCTGTTTAAACTATACTATGCGATAGCCTTCGATTATAAGGATATTTTACATGTAATAATTTGCAGAAAAAATCATCTTGTATAAAATAACAAAATATTTACAACTTTATACAATATAATACTACGAATTACGCTATTTTAAATAGTCCCAAAATAATTTATAAAGTAATAAATATTTGCACACTATTTGATGATATTATAGAACAATATTTTTAAAAGTACAAAAATAATCGCTAAAATTTAAAATTTTATAACAGGTAGTCGCTAACACTTTCGATAACGATAGTACACAAGACGACACAAGAAGTTGCGCGGGCGACGAGAAGCAGGAAGAAACTACTTGGGAGTAGCGCGTCGGCCGTTGCTATAGTTTCGCTTCCCTGTACCTCACACCTCACCGTGCCGACACCTATTTTTCGCTTCTGCGCACTTCTATTTTATTTCATCTTTCGTGGCGCGACCTATATACCCTTTTTCGTGCATGCAGCCGGCGTTCATCGATTTATTAGACGTAGTCAAAGTCATCAAAAACAACCAAAAACCGCACGTACCGCCAAAATATTTATTTATTTATTTAAAACCTTTACTGCATCTCCTTATGAAGAAGGATACAAACGGCGGACTTAATGCCTAAAGACAGTATACCAGTCAACGTGACAGACTAGAATCAGACAATCCGAAAAGAAATTCGACGAAGAGATTATCGCATCGCATCGTGGCAATTATTTTAGGATAATACATGTGGAAAATGTTATGTTGCGCAGAGGCTGCCCTGCATTATTTTTTTAGAATAACACATGTGCACACAAACGTGAACGCTCAGTGGCAGATTTTTCTTTAGGCAAACTACGCACGTGTCTAGGGAGGTCACGCAAGGTTAGTAAGGGTCGTTTATAAACGAGAAAGATTCGTCTATTTGATTACTCCTACATCGCTCTCACTCTCTCGTCGCATTTTTCATTCACGGCCACCTGTTAAGAATACTCATGTCCTAATTATTTTTGCAATTATCAAACTATATTACGAATTATAATATACTTTATTTGCAACATAAGTAGTTATAATTTGTAATATATGGCCGATAGATGGGGCGCCAATGAGTTAAGCCTAAGGCGCTGTCGACACTAAAACAGCCTCTGCAGATGCTGTAGCCCATAGACATCTACGTCTATCCTTGATTAAGAATTAAAATTCAGAAGCGTTGTCACTCCTGAGGACTAAGATGAAATGTCTCGTTTCCAGTAAAAAGGGTCTCTGGTTTTCTACATTTTACATCATACGATACACTTTGACGCTGGTACTCTGTAAGAGCGTGGTTCTTCATCGGTAGGGCGGACCCATTCGTGCTACAACCATAATATAGCTTTATCATGGTTGCTGTTGGTTGGTATACTTCAGCTGTGGTATTTGCTATATCTAGTATTTACTGTTTACTTTACTCAATGTATGTTTTATGTTATACGTAAAGTCATTACTGAGAAATATAATCTGTCTAAATAATATTTCGAATAATTTCTAACAGTAGGTACTGGCATATTGGAAAATTTTGAAAATTAACTTACCTTGGCTACCATCTTCTTGGTGGGCGGTGTGCTTTCAATATCGTCTCCCCTCTCCCAGCCCACACCGTGCAACTCCACATTGAAGTGCGTGTTGTCCATCACATCCTCCTTTATGTCGTCATTGGTGAAAGCGCCAAAGGTGAAGAATCGCGGATATTTAAGCAGCCAGCTTCTGGTGTAGCTGGTGAAGGTGAACAGGTAGAGCAGGGCCCCAGACAGCAAAGTTAGGAGCAGTAATAACCCGCTGGGCATTTTGATGTACGCGTGGAACTTCACCGGTCGCTTGCCAGTGTTGGCATATAGTCGCCTCTGTGTGTCGTACACGACATATTCGTCGCAGAACGGAAACGGTACACACCAACTACCATTGTGTTTGTGGATCACCCATCTGACAGTTAAAATAATGCATAATATGAATTATATTAATAGAGTAAAATGGATTAGGAAAGACGCAACGCCGTTGTACAATAGATAACCACACCGTGTGCTGGCGGTGTCAGAACATCCACTATCCCATATCGTCCCGTGGGTGTCGTAAGAGGTGACAAAGGGAAACAACCCAGGAGATGGGCAGCAGCATCTTTCTGATAGCAACTCAATATAATAAAAAACAGCGTCTGCCAACCCGCAGGCGAAGCGTGGCAACTATGGCAAAATCACTTCAGGACATAGGGAATACCTATGTATGTACAGCAGTGGGTTTTTGAAAGCTGTAATAGAGAGAAATAAATAAAAATAACTTTTTTAGTTCATTATAGGTTATAAATAATACAAGTCATTTTTTAGTTTAATTTATAACTAGTTCGAAATATACTTTTGACCTGGGATGAACTTGTCCTTCTGGAATCACATCCAAATCATATCTTTATGGGCTGTCCATTAATCACGTGAGGTTCGAAAGTGGTGTTTGACAAAAATCACGAAATATCACAAGGGGGGGAGTGGAGTGTAGTAAGATTATCACGTGTAAGTATTTATTTTTTCGTCAAACGTGCGATTTCTAAACCAAAAAGCAGGATGTAAAGTGACCTTGACTCGCTTGTACGTGTAAATTCATGTAACAAGCATGGACCTAATCCGAGCAATAATAGTCTAGGTTGTCCTTCACGCATCCTCAGACGACGATCGATCGGTAGATCGAGAGAGATTCTTTGTGTAGTGCGCGAAAATGATGACGCCGAGTGGCTTGATGAAACCGACGCTGATCTTCAACAAAGCACAGTGCCAACAATTGACTTGCAAGATGCTTATCCAGTTGTTAGTGTTGAAGAAAGTCTTGCTAATCCGTGGTCCGAGGACAATGTACATTAAATATGTTCATTTACTAGTAAAACATATGTTTTTCGCATGATTACACCATTCCTTTAATATTACTTTATGCCAGTCAAAAACAACCTGCAACCTTTCTGTCTACACATTTTTATCATGATCCTTAATTTCGGAATAAAACTAGGTTATACTTTATAGGTACTAAAAATACACGTGATTTTGGGTGGGGGGGGGGTTAGTCTTCAACCTCACCACGTATCACCAAGAGAGAGGGGGGTGTTAAAAATGCTAAAAAACATCACATGATTAATAAAAACAGAAACTTTTTTATTCAATGTAGATTATAACAATACTTATTGAAAGTCACTTTTTTCATTTACCACTGGTTCGCAAAAAAACCTCTATCCTGGGAAGAACCAGCAACAAACCCAGCGGGACTATTTTTTTCCAATAATAGCTTACAATCATGTTTACAATTAACAACACAAGGCAAATTAGAAATAGCTTGGTAGCGATCACCCTTCCCAGGGGTTATTATCATCCATAAATTTCTTAATATTATAATAACCCCTTTTTATACAAACTTAGTTTAATAACATATTTGAACTTTGTGTATGACAAATTTTGTATATTTTCTGGAATTCTGTTGTAAAAGCGTATACATCGCTCCAAGAATGAATTACTGACTCGGTGGAGTCGAGTAACTGGCACTACTAGCTTATGTCTGTTCCTAGTATATACAGAGTGAATATCACCTATTTTTGCAAAACTACTTCTATTTTTGTGTACGTACTTTACATTTTCATAAATGTATTGAGATGCAGAATAACTATATTAATTTCCTTAACTTTTGTGTGATTTTTAATGGGGGGGCTCTTCTGTAAAATAAATATAATTTCAGTGTCAGACGCGTGTCCTCGTAGCAAAATACCATACGACATAATGCTATGGAAATAACTAAAGTAAACTCTTCTAGCTGTTTCAACACTGGTAAGAGTTCTAAACTTTTTTACAGCATAAGCTGCAGAACTAAATCTGCTAGCTAGTTTTGATATATGGGGGAGCCATTGAAGCTTTGCGTCTAGTGTGATTCCAAGAAAAATGGTGGTATCAACAAGACTCGGTTCCTCCCCATTTAAAATTATATTAGTATTAGCATGTTTAACAATAGGAGTTACGAATTTCATCCATTTAGTTTTGGTTCCATTTAAATGCAAATTATTAATATTAAACCAATTGACTAACTTAGCTATAGCATTATTTACTTCGTCGTAATTTAATAACCGTCGTTTTAATTTGAAAATTAATGAAGTATCATCAGCAAATAATACTATATCATGGTTATCCCCGACTATGTGAGGTAAGTCATTAATATATCCAAGAAACTGAAAGGGGCCGATAATTGAGCCCTGAGGCATGCCCATTTGTACAATCGACCCGGAAGAACTCATACTATTAATGACAACTTTTTGCGTTCTGTCACTTAAATATGAAATAAGTAATTTAAAAGCATCGCTTCTTACACCGTAGTGTTGAAGTTTCCCGATTAATGTTTCGTGGTGAACACAATCGAAGGCTTTGGATAGGTCACAGAATACACCCAAAGCATCCTGTGAATACTCCTATGCATTAAATATATATTTAATCAGCTCAACACCAGCATCAGTTGTCGAGCCACCCCTTGTGAAACCGAATTGATAACTATGAAGTAAATTATTTACATAAAAAAATGTAACATTAGATCAAGAATATTTTTTTTTCGAAAATTTTACTAAGTATATATTTTTATAAGTATTTTTAAGTGTTGGCAGTACATAAATAGGTCTAAAATTAGCGGGGTCCAATGTACTATCAGATTTAAATACCTAAAGGTATTACTTTACTATGCTTCATTAAATCAGGAAACACACCAGATTCGATACTAATATTAAAAATAATAGATAGTTGAGGTGCGATAGTATCACTGACCTCTATATATACAAGTACGCTGGACTGGCTATACCATACAAAATGACTGATGACAATTTGAAGCGCCGCTAAAGGATGTCTTGAAAAATAAAATTGATATAATATGCCAAAGTCTGTTGTTTTATTTATATTGTCTTATTTATTAAGTCTATATTCAGAACTTTTAAACTAAAAAAACGAAAATATTTTATGTTGTTCGATTGTGTATATTAGTTACATAATAAGAATTATTTTTAATAATAATGAGTGTGCGTAATCTGTAAAACTCGTTACCAAAAGGGAAGTGGTGTAACATTTCACGAGTTCGTGAATTTGCAGCTAATATAAAACAAATTAAAACTATTTGATAATATAAATACTTAAAAATTTGTTATTAATCTTAATATCATATATACCAACATATTTGGCTGTATATTAGTGAGTTTTTTATAAACAATAAAATTCAATAGGGTTGTCGAGTTCCTTGTCTATAATACTTATCGATATTCTTTCCTACCCATATCTGTTAACAAACAAAGTCGCCAACAACAGATGTTTATAAATTAACAGGTTTCCAACTGAACCTAGAGTAAAATTGTGGCTTAAAAGCATAAATATTGTGAATTGGCGTCCGAAACAAAATGATCATACTTGTTCTGAATATTTCACAGACGACTGTTTTATTAGACATGAGACCTGCACCACTTTGAAAAAGTCCAGTATTCCGACAATATTTTCTGGTAGTACCAGTACTAGTAAGTATAAAAGTATTAGATTATTATTTCGAATGTTTTTTTATTTCTTCTTTCCTTATTTTCCCACAAACTCAAGGACCATAGCCAAGCGTCGAAAAGTCACCTGATTATGTCGAGCCACGTTGGATGTGTGTTAGTGGGCTGCGGCTAGAGGAGATTCGAGATTCGGAGAGGAGGTGGAGTCGTCAGGGAACGCTAACATCGAGAACACCACTCGACTATCCTTCGCGATTTTGGTGAGGCTATACCACTTGATGCTTCCAAGTGCTCGTTTTTTTCCTGGCTCCATTCACATATGGAGCTCGGGGAGTCCGTAGTTTAGGTGGAGTCGGAGGCCGTGAAAAACGGGGGGGGGGAGAAGTCAGTAACTAAAAGGGGCTGCAATTAGCCGGCTGGCGCCGGAGGGGCCGTGGGTGTACATGTAGGTGTTTCCGTGGCCCTGTCAATTTGCGGCGGAGGTAGAACAACATGGGGTTTTATTAAGTCCGAGTCTAGAGATTTAATTCTCTCTCGAGTCTCTAGATATAATTTGTGCTTTAACTTCGTAGTGGCCCTACTTTAGTTTATTTCTTATTTAAAAATTCTGGCCATCGTTTACATTCACGGTTTTGGTAGCTTCCTCTTGCGCAACATCCACCGACAAAGACAATTAAGTGTCGATATGTCAAGCCCCTAGAATACGTGGCACTGCCGAAGCTGGAAAATTTAGGAGGATAAACTTAGGAATGAGGATATTGGCAGTAGAACCAGAGTGACCGACATGGCTTAACGGATTAGTAAGCTGAAGTGGCAATTGACCGGCCATATAGCTTGAAGAACCGATAACCTTTGGGGAAAAAAGGTTCTTGAGTGGCAGCCTTATACTGGCAAGTGAAGTGTCGGAAGTTCCCCCACTAGATGGAGTGAAAATCTGGTAAGACATACAGGAAGTTGATGGGTGTAGGTGGCTCAGGACCGTGCTTTGTGGCATTCCTTGAGGGAGGCCTATGTACAGCAGTGGACTTGTGAAGGGCTTTAATGATGATGAATGATAATAGCGTTATATTAATATGATACATAAATAGAATCGACGTTATGGGTAGAGTCCGTCTATCCATAGAGTCCATTCTATTTATTTAGGTATAGAATTTTTATCGATATGTTTTGCCGCACTGTCTTATCCCTATTATTAGTTCCGTGGACGTGCACTCCTGCTGTCAGCGCCAAAACGACGGAAATCAAATCGCTTCATCATGTCACGGTGTATAGCCAGTCCAGCGTACTTGTATGTATAGAGGTCAGTGGATAGTATCTATTATAGACGCAATAACTTTAACAGAAATCCCCCACAGATCGGCGGTTCTCTTAATATATTTTAGAATATCTTTTGATGACACTTTATGAAATGTAAAATTCTTTGTACACACATTTACGTTTTGTTTAAGTAATGATTGGGCGACGGCGGGAAAAGAATTCAGTGACTTAGTGGTTAAGATAGGAATATCAGTAAAATCTTCTCTCAAAAACCATTGCAACGTCCTGATCTGATTTAGTTAATTTATTGTTAAAACTTAACTGATAGTTTGAATTGCGACAGTTGACCTTACCAGTTTCACTAGTAATTGTACTCCAAGTCATTTTAATTTTATCAGAAGCAGTCTTTATTTTGTTGCTCAAATACAATGACTTGGCTAAGGAGCACACTCTTTTAAATATTTTGGAATATTTTTTTACATATTCCCTAAATTCGACGCTAGGATTATATGACCTTTCATTGTAAAGTTCTTATAACCTTTGTCTACTCTCATGGACTCCTACTATCGCCCACTCGTTAAATGCCTTGCGATTGTTCAAGGAGAATGTTTTAGAAGTTAAATTATTATTAAATTCATTGCAAATAAGCTTAAATAATGTTCCATACAAAAAATCTGGATTATTTTGGTATGAAAGTAGTGGAAGTTTTTTTTTTATTATGTTACTTCTAAACTTCTCCAAGCGATGTGAACACTACTTTTTTATCTACTTGCTTTTTGTGAACATAAGGTAATGAAACTAATTGTCCACAGTGATCAGAGCTCAATTTTTGAATTATACATTTATTGAACGGCTTAACATTTGTAAAAATGTTATCTATACATGTTGCACTAGATTCAGCAATACGCGCTGGCTCTAAAAATAAATTAAAAAGACCATAAGATTTAAACAATGATCTAAATTTAATATTGGTGGAGGAAGCTTCTAGGAGATTGATATTAAAGTCTCCACATATCACAACAGATTTATTCTGTTTATTAAGCTTAGCGAAAACTTCCTCCATAATTTTTTCAAAAGTATCATATAAAGAACATAGGGGTCTGTAAACGCTCACAACAATGAGGTGCTCAAACTCAACACATGCCATTTCTACAGTTCACTCAACAGAGAGGCTCACAATATCTTTACGTTCTTTACATGATAATAATTTACTAGCTAAAATTAAGGAGCCACCTCTCAGGAGGACTAATGACGACCTACATGTATCCTCGATTACGAATCAAAACGCCGATGCGTTGTCACCCGTGAGGACGTAAATGGAATGCCTCGTTTCCAGTGAACGGGGTCTCTGGCTTTTTACACTCACCATACGAAACACAACAACATTAGGCTACTATTTTGCGCTGGTATTATGTGAGAGCGTGGTCCTTCCCCGGTCGAGCCGACCCATTCGTGCTACAACTATACTACTAATACAACTGCAGCATGGCTCTACCACGTATGCAAATGATCTACAAATATACTTACAAATAACCACTGAAGATTTCCCCAAAGCAGTTGATTGTATCAATAATGATCTGGCTTGTATTCGATCTTATGGGTTAACAGTAAAGCTTTTAAAATCCCAAACCATAGTAGTTCAAGAATGATATTCAAAATTAAAAAAGAAACAACTACAACTCCTTGTTTACATAAAACTGGATTTTACGGATTTCATCGCGTATATTAACTTATTTTATATTCCCGACGTTGTTACAACCCAGGAACATTTTAACAAACTTGAGTGACTCCAAAATCTCTGTACACGGTTCATATTTGGGTTTCGTAAATATGACCATCTCTCAGAATACCGCACTAAGCTCAAGTGGCTCCCAATCCATCTTCGTCGGAATACTCAATACTTTCTGGTCTCTACTGCATCTTATTTTAATATATCAAGTCCTCCTTATCTAAAAGAACGTTTAAAATTGCTCAGCTCCAGTCTTAAGTTTCTTATTCTAATTTTTGCTTACGGTTCAAAGAAAATCTTATCCTCCAATTTCCTGTGCACTCCCAGATTTTTTATGATAAATCATTTTCTGTTCTGGAAGTACGACTTTGGAACGCCTTACTACTACTCGTAGTCAATTAAAAGTGCTCAATCCTTAAATTTACTTCAGAAACAGGTCCTCCCCTCTCTCTTCATCCTTTTGTTTATAGTCATTGATCTACCTAAAGAATGTTGTCTTTTTATTGCATTAGTTGGTATCTTTTCTTATTTTAGTACTCCCTACCCGTTGTTCTTTTTTTTTAATTTATTTATTCTTCTGGGTTGTCTGAAAGAGACTGATACGTAGTTTTTTTGTTGTTTTTTAATCTTATCTTGGTGAAAAATGAAGTCTTGTATTCTATTGTATACTGGCAAAGGACCTAGCGGTATTTAAAAAAAATACACTTTATATCGTCATTATCATTACAACCCTTCCTAAGTCTACTGCTGCCTTGAGGAAGTGTAAGAGGTGACAAAAGGAAACTAAAACAGGAGCTGAACAGTAGCATCTTCCTGATAACCACTCAAAATAATAGAAAACTACGATTGCAAGCCCGCCTGCCAAAAGTGGCAACTATGGCAAAATCCCTCCTATAATAGAGACCTATTTTTAAGCAGTGGGCTTTTAATCTACTTCACAGACAGCAAGGATAAAATTAGTGAAGGTCGTTAAAAGGAAATACCGTATACAACTATTCAGTAGCAAGTGACTTCCATTACGGCACATTCTGTCGAGTCTAACTTGACTCTCTACAACACGTACAATACCCTAAGCATCTAATAGAATAATGACGTATCCAATAGAATAATAAACATATATTAAATACTTTACCTTTTTGGTAAACTAGGTTTGAACGTAGGCATCCGATCCGGATACAACAGTTTCCTCAGTGCCGGCAACTCGTTCTGATACATCAACCTAAAACACAGTCGTTATATCTCCTCAAGCCCGTAAATTTTCATAGCTGGACAAGGGCCTCTCCCTTTTTTATAGCATAACGGTGACTAACGAGCACACAACCCGGACTCCACAACCCCATATCATCACGGTGGTGCCGTACGAGGCGTCAGAAGGAAATAAATCAGGCGATGGGCAGTAGCGTCTTCCTAATAACGACTAAAAATAAAATAAAAACCGCGGCTGCCAAACCACTTGCCAAGCGTGCCAACTGTGGCAAATATCCCTCTTATCTATGAGGCAATATAGGAGGGTAGCCCACGTTTAGCAGTGGACCCTTGATAGGCTGTAATAAATAAATAAATAGCCACACCAAGTAAGTATTTAGTTACAAAATTAGGTTTTGAAGTTTTAAAAACGAACAGAAGACACATTCAAACGTGGTAGAGTCATGCAGCAGTTAGTTATATTATGATTGTAACACGAATGGGTCAACTCGACCGGTGAAAGCACGCTCTCACAGAACACCAGCGTAAAATAGCAGCTTAATGCTGCTGTTTTTCGCGTGATGAGTGTAGAGAACTGAAGACCTGGAGCCCTTTTTACTAGATACGAGGCATTCCATCTTAGTACTCACGGATGACAACGCATCTGCATTTTGATTTGTAATCGAGGATAGATGTAGATGTCTATGGGCCGCAGCAGCCACTTACCGTCGGGTGGACTGTGTGCGCGTTTGTCATCCTATCCTATAAAAAAAAGAATAAATGTACATGACTATGGCCACAGTATCCACTTACGTCAAGTGTACGGTATGCTCGTTTGTTACTACTTTTCTATATAACAAAAGACAGACGTGGAAGTAACTGCAATATTTTCGAGGTACTACAAATCATTTCAGTGATTAAGAAGAATATTGAGACGACCATAGACAGGTTCTTACCCATAGACAATAGACGCCCAGGTTCCGTAATGAAAGCACCCATATTGCCGAGCCGCTTTCTGGTACTCTTGAGGCACGTCTGCGCTGATGTATGACTCTACTGAATTAAGGGTGCCTAGGAATTAAGATAGTAAAAATATTATATAATTAATTACTGCTAATTTAAAACTATTTTTATGGAATTAAGGTATGACAAACAGTCCACCTGATGATAAATGGTTGCCGTGGCCCATAGACATCTACATCTATCCTCGATTACGAACCAAAATGTAGATGCGTTTTTACCATCCAGTGACAACGCATCTGTATTTGCGTAGAGGCATTGTCACCAGATTCGCTTTCCGAGGTAGAGTTCGCTTTCGCGTTCCCGAAATAGTTGTCCGATTGCCGGCACACGCTTTTATATTCGTTATGGGTAATATTGCATTTTCTAGGCCAGGGGTGGAGGAGAACCTTTATGTATCAACGTGCCATTTTTCTAAAGAAATGTTAATGAGGCCATAGACGTACCGTAAAATAATTTCGACTTCGTGATTATTGCGAAAATGATAATACTTAATGCTATCAACTCAAAACTTTTTATAAAGTCCAAAAATATATTTTGCAATGTATAATAATAAATATTTCAGCTAAACGCGTAACTCAAATTAAAGTAACATTAGTGTGACTTCTGTTATTGCAGATTAGATGACGAAAAACTTATATTAGGCTTGTAAGATGTTACTTTTGGCAGAATGCATGCTGAATTGGAGTCATCTGTCAAACGATCTAGACTCGAGGCCAATACTAACGATAACATAATCCAAAGGATAAAACGCTTTAAACTCCTAGATAAAAGGTTACGTCTTGCTTGCATCAATAGTTTAAGTATCTTAATTTGAGTGACAACGAGCATAGTCAAATAATTTTTGATGAACATTTGATCAGCGTAGTTATGATGACCATAGTTACATCTATGTCATGTCAGTCATTTTGTCAAAACTACTAATGTAGTATTTCACGCGGTAGAGCCACGCTGTAAGGTGTTATTTAATATAACGCTGAAATAAAAATTACCATCGAAGTTCCGCTCGAGAAAAATGACACCCATGTCGTTGGGAATACTGTCGAAGCCGCACGCACTGATGATGTATACGCCCGCCTCGCGCGCTGCCGGGTCGTATCGCAGCTGCATAGACTGGATAAACTGAAAATAATTAAATTTTCACAGTGGTAGAGCGACCCTGCTCAATCTCACAGTTGCTATATCTCGGAGTTGGCTTCAGTTTTAAATTGTAATTGCTCAGAGTTGTTTGATAAATTCATCGATTTTAAAAACGACACCAATCCAGAAGTTCTGTTTAAAGAAAAAAGGGCAAACAGGGAATATGCGGAATTTCGGAGTATTGTTCCCCAAAAATATAAAAACCTCCAAAGATATGCCCAAATATTACTAACATTCTTTGGGTCTACATACGTGTGCGAATCGTCTTTTTCAAAAATGAAATACTCAAAGAACGTGTACAGAAACAAACTTACGGATTCTCATCTGGGTGATGTAATAAGGATAGCATGTAGCGACAAGTCAGATCTCGAAAAAGTTTTAAAAAAGTGTTCACAGTATCTAAAATCGCATTAAAACGTATAAACATCTTAGTAAAACTTCTTTTTTCATTAATAAAGTAAATCAATAGTTAACTTGGAATTACGTTTTAATTAAGACCTAAATAATTTTTGCTTGCGGCCCTCGACAACATGACTGAAACCTTTTTGTGGCCCCTATAAAAAAAAAAGGTTAAGTATGGCTGGTCTAAACCTTAGGTCTAAACTTATTAGTAACAGAGAACTAAATATTTGCTCTATAAATATTAGTACCCGGTTGACCGAGCTTTGCTCGGTATTTTTCGTTCGGTTTTTTTTAATTCGTGTGTTTTGGAAATTATATTATATATAAATATATAATTACATACTGATGAAATACGAATAATATTTTTGGATCTTAGCGACATAATAGAAAAAACTGAACTGGTTATTTGAATAAAAAATCATGAGTGCAATTAGTTTAATTTAAATTTTCGTGTTTTTAAAAAATACTAAAAAAAAGGGCCCGAATAAAAATAAAAATAAATTAAAAAATCGGTCTCTCTGGGCTCGAACCATGGTATTACGATTTTGTGACCGCCCAATATACCAATTAAGCTATTCGTAATCATTAACAAATTGTCAAAATTTACCTTCTTATTCTAACGATATTGTAGCAGTTTTTCATCGCCTAAAAACACGGACAAAAAGACATTTTCTAAAAATAAATCCTAGCTAGATCGATTTATTGCCCGAAACTTGCAAATTTTATGAAAATCATTGGAGCCGTTTCCGAGATTCCGATTATATATAAGTATACAAGAATTGCTCGTTTAAAGGTATAGGATTATTGCAATTATTTAGTTCTCTATAAATGGACCAGGAAGTTATTTTAACTACACGCTACAATTGAGAAGATATAATTATAGTAAATAGATATATTTTGCAATGTAACTAATATTTATTATATATATATATATATATATATATATATATATATATATATATATATATATATGTTGATATGTAATTATTATATTTGACATTGGCATTAGTCTTGGCGGTTAGTGTCAATGTTAGCTAAGTACATATAGTTGTGGCGGCGCTGTCGTCGCGCCGCAAGTGAAACACACCGAAGCCTAAATACGCTATCAAAAATTCCGAACCATAAACAGTATATATAGAATATCTCCGAACTATCACAAGGAGTGTTGGCCGCTCCCCGGGCAGAACACCTTGCCCGGCGGGAGATCTCCCCCTTTTCCTTCCACGGCCACAGTGGTGACCCCGACGTGATCTTAACACGCAACCAACAACCTTCCCACATCACCCCCCTGCTCAGACCAGAGGTCGATAGTACACCCTCGTTGCCGACGAATGTGCAAGTGCCAGGAGATTGCCTTGTAGTTTGCGGTGAGTCGAGAAGAAGGCAAGTAATCTGCGAGAGTGTCGTGAAGCAGAGGCGAGAAGTAAGGCTCAGAGCCGTGCCGAACATTGTATAGCGCAGAGAGTAGCTTGAAGGAACAGGAAGCATTATTATTCCAGTGCTGATATGAACCTTGTGAAGCTAGCTGGCTTGCAGGATATAAAGATTGCAGACGATATCTCCTCGGGAGCGACTGGGTGGGGTACTTTTTTTTATAGAAGAGGGGGCAAACGAGCATGCGGCTCACCTGATGTTAAGTGATTACCGCCGCCCATGATCAACCGCAACACCAGGGGAATTGCAGGTCCGTTGCCGGCCCATTAGAAAGGAGTAAGCTCTTTTCTTGAAGGTCCCCAGGTCGTATCGGTCCGGAAAAATCGCCGGTGGTAAACTATTCCACAGAAAGGTTGTACGCGGAAGAAAACTCCTTTTGAAACGTACAGTGGTGGACCGCCAAGCATCCAGATGGTGTGGATGGTATCGGGATGTTTGTCGCGTAGTGCGTTCACGAAATTTGGCGGCTGGGATTAATCCGACCAATTCCTCAGAACACTCTCCATGGTATATGCGAAAGAAAATGCAAAGAGATGCAACATCTCTTCGCAATGCCGGTGAATCGAGCCGATCGGAAAGCACTCGGTCGTCGACGATTCGAGCCGCTCTGCGCTGGATGCGGTCAAGTGGAAGGAGCTGGTACTGGGGAGCCGCAGCCCAGAGATGGGAACAGTATTCCATGTGCGGCCGAACCTGCGCCTTGTAAAGTTGCAGGCGGTGTGCCGGCATGAAATACTGTCCCGCTCTGCTGAGCACGCCAAGCTTTTTAGAGGCCAATTTGGCATTCCCTTCCAAGTGACCACGAAACTGCACGTCACTCGATATGTCGACGCCGAGGATTCCAATACTGGCTGAGGCAACAAGGGCCTTGAAAAGAAGGCCTGAAAACAAGCCTTGAAACTGAGGGGATACGACAAAGGGGTTCTTTTTAGCGGTTAACGCGCAAACTTGTGTCTAAAAAACTATGACGATGATGAAGCTTGAAGTTTGCGTGTTCATATCACCTTGGGTGGTCACCACTGTGGCCGTGGTAGAAAAAGGGGAGATCTCCCCCTTTTCCTTCCACGGCCACACAGTTAATTGTTTACATGCGACAATTGATTTTATTTACAAGGATAATACAAAGAGAGATTTTATTTATAAAGTGTGATAAAGCAAATTAATGTTGCATAAGTGAATTGAAGTGTCGGGAAGGGACGCCCTAGATGAAAGATTATCGACCAAACTGGCGAAATATTAAAGATGGGCTAGATTAACCGAAGAGAATGTATGCGTAGAGGCGAGAGAGGTGTGTCAGGAATCAGGATCGTGTCAAATGGGAGTTCGTAGTCTGCTTACCCGTCTGGGTGACAGGCGTGAGTGTTTATGTAAGTATAAAGATAATACAATGTCAAAGGTCTACATATTTTGAAGTAAAACTACGCACGCTTGACTTGGGAGTAAGCTGGCGAAAGCGTGACGAAAGCGTGACGAAAATTGTGATCGGGCGAGGCGAACGGGGGTTGAGTGGGGGATATAAGCACGAGAGAGCAGTGCGTGTGCACATTTTCTTTCTCTCTTTCTCCCATAGCCAGTTATTTTTCGTAATTTTATTTCGTTTTGAACAATTTTGTGAATAAATATTTTGTTCAATACATTAAATATTCTACGTTTAAAGTGATCTCCATTGAATAAAAATTATTCTATTCTATTCTATTCTAAACAATTCAATTTTATTTGTATAGATTGTAGGTGGATTGTAGATCATATAAATTTATACAGTTTTAGAAACTATTTTGTAAAGCTACAAGAAAAAGCTTTAATCCCACTTCTGAATGTAGAAATCAATTTCAAAATAATTTAAAAGAAAAGAATATTACTCGATAACGAATTCTCTTTTGCATTTTTCTTATAGAATATGAATATGCTGATGGTAAATGGATGCTGTGGAGCATAAACACCTACATTTATCCTCGATTACGAATCAAAATGTAGATGCGTTGTCACAAAAGTCAGTAAAAAAAGGTCTCCGGATCTCTACACTCACCATACGAAACACAGCAGTATTAAGCCGCTATTTTACGCTGATATTCTGTGAAAGCGTGGCACTTTCCCGGTCGAGCCGATCTATTCGTGCTACAACCATAATATAGCTGCAGTTACACAAGTAGTAGTAGTAGTAGCGTGGCTGTAAAAATTGAAATAATATTCTACCTTAGTGGTGTGCAAATATTAATGGTCAAGAAACCTAAACAACAATACTTATCGAATTTAACAATATATATTAATTTAACAAGATATAAAATTATTTAATATTATTTACTTGATTTAATAATTAATTTATTATGCCACAGTATCAGAATAAATATAAGTAAGTATTATTATATCAAGTAAGATTATTATTATACGTCAATGTCATATATTAATTATTATTCTTACGTCAATAATTATATAATGTTACATATCCAATTGTCATTAATATCTTTCTATTTTTACATCAAATTTATTAATTAATTAGATACATAAGTCAAATTTTATATAAAATAATATCAAAAACATTATTTTTTTTAAATATCAGAATCTCGTAATTACGTAATTAATCCTATTCTAAAATTATCATTCATTATTACTCGTATGTAGGTCGTTGTCGTTTAAGAACTCTACAGAATAATAACATTTACGGAGCAACAATGCCCAAACAGATTTCTTAAATGACAATAAACTTTTACGCTTTAAATTATCAGGTAAATTATTATAAATTCTAATCGACATTGCAGAAGCATTTCTTTTTATAACTTTTAGACGATTTGCTGGCGTATATAACCTATTCTTGTATCTACCCTTACTTTCACTCACATCACACTTACGTTGAAATAAATGTGGATGCTTATGAACAAATATGCACATTTCAAATATGTATAATGAAGGCAAAGGCAGGATCTTTTTAGTTTTGAACAAAGGTTTGCAACTCACTAAAGGACCAACACCACAAAGAGCTCTTATGCAGCGTTTTTGTGCTTTAAATGCTTTATCCGAATCCACCGAATACCCCCAGAGTATAACACCATATCGTAGTATGGATGAGATATATCCATGATATGCCATCAAGGCAGCTCTTTCCGATACAATATTTCTTAGTCTACGCAATGCAAAAACGAAGCGATCTATTTTAGTACAAAGGCTTTCTATATGAGGCTTCCAACTACAAAATTTATCAAATATTATTCCTTCAATTATCGAGTTGTTATATGTGAGTTTAATGTCATTTTTTAGTAGTTAGTTGTTAAACACAATAAATGTGTGAGAGCAGATGCTCAATCTGATTTCCTGCTTACGCAAAATTATCATTATCAGTAATAAGACAGCGTAATGCAATACAGATTTAGTGTAGAGCAAAAACAGTTCGACCAACCGTAATAGGTGCCCGCCACAATCACACATTGGTGTAACGTGGAGAACATAATTAGTAATTACATAATAACACCAAAGTGTGCAACAGGGCAGCTCTCTCAGCAACACGATCTTCTTTGCCTACACTAGTAGGATAGCCCAAATAATATTAGTTTTGTCGCCAAAATAATCACATGTTTTTATTGTTATCCAAAGTTATCCAAAGCTTGTCCGGAAGAGATTGCTCTTAGCGATAAGACCACAATTCTGTCTCTCCTTTATTTTGTTTTTGTGGTGTGCAACATATTGTTATCCATCTATCTACTCCAAGCTCAACGGTCACAGCAACGACAGTGAGTCCAGTAGAATTACCGACTGATCCATAGAGGAAAGTAATATCTAGACTGATCAGTAACTATATATTTATTTATAAAGATGTATAGATTTTAGGATTTGTGCTGCAGAGTCCCGGTGAGTAGGGTGAGTGGCGCAACACCATATCAACATTCCTCTTCCCCCGTGACTCCACCATGGTTACAGCGTGCAGGGTGAAAAAACACCCTTGCCGACTCAATCCATCAAAATACACTTGGAGTAGTTAACGTCAAGGCCAAGCTTACTCGGAGCAGCCACGTCAAACCAGCCCTTCAATTCGAGTGAGCCATGTGGGGAACCCATATATCTCGCTCGAGGTCCATATTCAAGGTGGGTGACCAAGCCACCCGTTTTGGGGGGAGGGGGTATCACCTTATTCTTAAGATTACTCTGTATATACCAGGAACGGACAAGCTAGTAGTTACTCGACTACGTCAGTAATTTATTTAGTCAGTAATTGATGTATACGTTTGTACAACAAAATGAACTGCAACATCTCTTCGCAGCGCCAGTGAATCGAGCCGATCGGAAAGCACTCGGTCGTCGATGATTCGAGCCGCTCTGCGCTGGATGCGGTCAAGTGGAAGGAGCTGGTACTGGGGAGCTCCAACCCAGAGATGGGAACAGTACTCCATGTGCGGCCGAACTTGCGGCTTGTAAAGTTGCAGGCGGTGTGCCGGCATGAAATACTGTCCCGCTCTGCTGAGCACGCCAAGCTTTTAGAGGCCAATTTGGCCTTCTCTTCCAAGTGACCACGAAACTGCACGTCACTCGATATGTCGACGCCAAGGATACCGATACTGGCTGAGGCAACAAGGGGAGTGCCTTGAAACCGGTGAGATACGACAAAGGGGTTCTTTTTAGCGGTTAACGCGCAAACTTGTGTCTTCTGGGGGTTAAACTGGACTAGATTTAGTCGCCCCCAATCCGAGACTCTGTTCAGCAAAGACTCGACTTCAGACACAAGTTTGTCCCGGTACTCGGAGACGTTTTCCCGAGAAATATTGGTACGGCCGGTGTACAGAGCATCACCAGTGCTGTCATCTGCATAACAATGAATGTTACGGGTTTGCAACATATCATATCATATGCAGAAGAAACAACGTTGGCGATAGCACGCAACCATGTGGAACACCAGCATTAATAGGCTTGTAATCGGAGCTTGCACCGTCTACAACGACATTGATGCTCCGATCTGCAAGAAAGCTGGCGATCCAATCGCACAATTTCTCGGGAAGCCCATAGGAAGGGAGCTTCGAAAGAAGCGCTTTGTGCCAAACCCGATCGAAGGCCTTCGCAATGTCCAAACTAACGGCCAATGCCTCCCCCTTGGACTCAACTGAGTTAGGTAGACTAGAAGATCACCAGCTGATCGACCATGGCGAAAACCGTATTCGTAACCATAGACATCTACACTTATCCTCGATTAAGAATCAAAACGTAGATGCGTGGTCGCCCCTGAGGATTAAGATGGAATGCCCCGTTTCCAATAAAAAGGAGTCTCCGGATTTCTACACTCACCATACGAAACGCAGCAGTATTAAGTTGCTGTTTTACGCTGTGATATTCTGTGAGAGCGTGGTCCTTCCCCGATCGCGCCGACCCATTCGTACTACAACCATAATATATAGCTGCAGCGTGGCTCTACCACGTTTAAAAACTTTAATAAACTGAATTTGTATAAAAAGGGTTACTATAATATAAAGGAATTTATGGATAATAATAACCTATAGGAATAAGGTTATCGCTACCAATATTATCAAATTTGTTTTGTGTTGTTAATTATTTTGAAACTTTAATAATTGTACACTGTGCTATTTTCAAAAAAAAAGTCACGCTGGATTTCTTGCAAATTCTTCCCAGGACAGAGGTATTATTTTTTATAGAACATAGGGAAAACTAGCATGCGGCTCACCTGATCGTAAGTGTTGACCGCCGCCCATGAACATTTGCAACACCAGGAGTATTGCAGGTACGTTGCCGGCCTTTCAAAAAGGAATAAGCACGTTTCTTGAAGGTCCCTAAATCCCGGTTTACAATTTGAGAAGTGACAAGTGCGAGTGGCAAGTGCAACTGCCAAATAACAAGTGCTTAGTACGTATTTTATTCACACTTGTAACTGCCTGTTTAACTGTTCAAAGTTTCACTGCCACAGTCGCACTTGTCACTTCTCGAAATGTAAGCCGGGCCTAAGTCGCATCAGTCCGGAAAAATAGCCGGTGGTAAACAATTCTGCAAAGAAGTCGTGCTAAGAAGAAAACTCCTGGTAAATCGCACAGTAGCCGCCACGAGTACAAATGTTGTGGATGGTAGCGTGAGTTGTGACAGGTATATTTTCAGAGATATGCGTTGCTAAAATTTTCCAAATCAGTGGTAAATTAAACACAAGAGTGACTTTTAATAAGTATTATTTAAAATTTATATTGAATAAAACCGTTTCTATTTATATTTGAACTTACCACAGGCTCCCCACTGACGTCCACGTAGTGCGTCCTACATCGTACAGCAGCACTCACGACGGCCTCTCCATGCAACTTGTAGGGACCACAGCAGTTGACAAGCACCTTTGCCCTTTTGCACATTGCCAAGAGAGAGCTGTCATCACTCACGTCGGCCAGGATCACCGGTATCGAGGAAAGATTCTCGCCTAAAGGGACAACAAAATGTTAACGTTTTGCTAATTAATAGAATTTGGCATTACATTGCGAAGTTCCAGGTGTCTGACTGTTGAAATACCGCAGAGTCTACTTCAAATGAGGATGCTTTGTTTAGAATCGAAACACTTGTCGTATTATCGACGTTAGTGTATCTTTCCTAATTGAAGTTGGGAGTAGTGGTGACGAGGATAGTGCACGCAATTGAGAGAGGGCTGGAGGTGGTCTTCAAACGTCACTTTATTTTATTATTTTTAATGTAATGTGAGAACATTATTAGTCGATGTAGAGATGAGATCGAAGGCGCAAGAGGCTTTACGTGCTTTCCGAAACCCCGCAAACATCAAGTCTCCGCACTACTATTGAGACTTTGTTGACAGAAAATGAAATAACTGATTTTGGCCCAACACGTGATAGAAACGCGCGACCACATCATTAGAAGTCGTGCTGACGACCACTAGATCAACAAGGCAGACATTTACTAATAATGCATATGTTGTTCTCACTTGTAGACTTATAATTCAATGCACCGTAGCGGATATTATACAGGGTTCTTTTGCAATAATCGGCCAAATTTGTAGAGAAGGGTCAGAATTAGTAATATAGGTGAAGAAAAATTAATTTTAACATCTGTAACATTCTATCCTTTTTATCTTTTAGTGTTTTTAATTTCAAAATGAGTGGTTATCACTGACTTCTATATCTACAAGTACGCTGGACTGGCTATACCATACAAAATGACTGTGCCAATTTGAAGCGCCGCTTAAGGATGTCTTGAAAAATAAAATTGACATCATATGGCAAAGTCTGTTGTCTTATTTATATTGTCTTATTTCATAAGTCTGCATTTTGAACTTTTAACTAAAAAACAAAAGTATTTTGTTGTTTGATTGAGTATAATATTAGTTAGATAATAAGAATTATTTTTATTAATAATGAGAGTGTGCGTAATCTGTAAAACTCGTTACCAAAAGGGAAGTGGTATAATTCATCCCCAAAGGTCAGTTTCACAAGTAAGTGAAATATTAAACAAATTAAAACTATTTGAAAATATAAGTACTTAAAAATTTGTTCCTAATCTTAATCACGGTAATATTATCTATACAGTATTCCAACTTCATACAAACGGACGAAGCGAGAGCTATACCTACGCGCCTCGATCTCGGCATGCGCTCGGCATGCAGACAGTCGAGACTGTGCCGCAGTGATGATTTTGTGAAATATATAAAAAATGGAGGAAATAAATAATAGAATAGAAATAAAGAAATAATAAATCTGAACTTCATTTAAAAACAAACATATAAATTGTAAAGTAGCTGCAGGTATCTATAACCAATTAATAGATATTCCTTTTCTCCACGTTGTCCATGTTTCCCAAAACAATTTTTAATTTATATTATTTTTAGCTTTATATTAGAAAGCGGATTTTTTATATTTAAAAATCTAATAATAAAGCATTTCGTAAGTCTCAGCCGAGGCGCAAATATTTTTCGGTCGCAAATTTATTTAACCGATTTGTTATTCAAACATAAACATGGTTTTTTTATGGTTCCGTAGTCAACTAGGAACCCTTATAGTTTCGCCATGTCTGTCTGTCCGTCTGTCCGTCCTCGCTTAATCTCTGTGACCGTTAGCACTAGAAAGCTGAAATTTGGTACCAATATGTGTATCAATCACGCCGACAAAGTGGTAAAATAAAAATTGGAAAAAATGTTTTATTAGGGTAGCCCCCCTATATGTAAAGTGGGATGTGATTTTTTTTTAATTTCAACCCTAGCGTGTGACATATTGTTGGAAAGGTATTTAAAAATGAATACGGGTTTACTAAAATCATTTTTTGATAATGTCAATAATTTCGGAAATAATCACTCCAAAAGTAAAAAACAATGTGTCCCCCCCCCCTCTAACTTTTGAACCATAAGTTTAGAAAATATGAAAAAAATCCGAAAAGTAGAACTTTATAAGGACTTTCTAGTAAAATCATTTTGAACTTGGATGGAAACAGCAGTACCCACTACCGGGAGCAGTTGCAGGAGCGCGGAGCGCTGCTGGAGCGCGAACATAATGGATACCCACCTTTAAACTCATAAGTGGGAACACTTATTGTGACGGACGGGAAACTACGGAATCCTACACTGAGCGTGGCCCGACACGCTCGTGGCCGCTTTTATTTTAATTAAATCTACCAATCAAAAAACGACACTTATTTTTATCAAACACTTCCTATTCAATTCACAAAGTACCTATTTTATTTGTTTATATAAGAAGTATATTTACAATCATAAAACTAAATGGAAACACAAAGTAGGCAAATGTAAAGATGCTGGAGGCAGGCAGCCCTAACGCATGTTTACGTGCCGCACTGCTGTAGGCATTTATCTGAAAGATACGGCCGAGTTACAATACTGTATAGATAATATTACCGTGTCTTAATATCATATATACCAACATGTTTGGGTGTATATTACTGAGTTTTGATAAACAATAAAATTCAATAGGGTTGTCGAGTTCCTTGCCTATATTACTTATCGATTTTCTTTCCTACCCATATGTGTTAACAAAAAAAGTCGCCAACAACGGACGATTATCAAATGTTTATTAATTAACAGGTTTCCAACTGAACCTAGACTAAAATTATGGCTTAAAAGCATAAATATTGTGAATTGGCGTCCGAAACAAAATGATCATATTTTTTCCAAACATTTTACAGACGAATGTTTTATCAGACATGAGAACTGCACCACTTTGAAAAAGTGCAATATACCGACAATATTTTCTGGTACCAGTAACCAGTAAGAATAAAAGTATAGATTATTATTTCGAATTTCGAATTCTTTCCTCATTTTCCACCAAACTCAAGGGCCATAGCCAAGTGTCGAAAGATCGCCTGATGATGTCGAGCCACGTTGGATGTGTGTTAGTGGGCTGCGGCTAGAGGAGATTCCTCTCCCTGGACCGCTGTAGTCGAGGTGGAGTCGTAAGGGAAGAGGAGTGTTGGTATGGCGATGTGCGATGCGCCACTCGACTATTTTTCGCGACTTTGGTGAGGCTGTACCACTTGATGCTTCCAAGTGCTCGTTTTGTCCTGGCTCCATTCCCATATCGGGCTCGAGGAGTCCATAGTGCAGCTCGTATCTGTATAAATGTTTCCTCGGTTTAAGATCTTTGTAGAATATTTAGAGACGATACCAGGAGACCCGACGGTATGGGTTTGGTTGCTTGAGAGAGAGAGAGAGAGAGAGATAAAGCTTTAGTGTGGGATACTACTTGCGAACACTTTGACAGCATCCCATCTCAGGGGTACCTCGTCTAAAGCAGGGGTGGTATTAGAGGCAACTGAACCAAGTAAATAGCCCAGAGTATCTGGAAGATAAGTACATATTTGTGCAATTTGCTGCAGAGACTATTGGTCCGTAGGGTGCACGTGCGGTGTAGTTCCTAAAAAACTGTGTCTGCGACTGATCACCGCTGCTGGTACACGAGGTCTTTCACTGCTAGCTGTATGAAGAAGCTCGAAGTCGCTCAGCGAGCTATAAAGGGGGGCTATGCTCAGGGGTTCAAACTTAGGAATGAGGATATCTGCAGCAGAACCAGAGTGACCGACATCGCCCAATGGATTAGTAAGCCGAAGTGGAAATGGACCGGCCATATAGCTCAAAGAACCGAATACCGATGGGGAAAAAAGGTTCTCGAGTGACAGCCTCGTACCGGCAGGTCAAGTGTAGGACGTTCCTCCACTAGATGGAGTCGAAAACTCGTAAGACATGCAAGAAGTTGATGGATGCAGGTAGCTCAAGACCGTGCTTTGTGGCATTCTTTGGGGGAGGCCTGTGTTCAGCAGTGGACTTGTGAAGGGTTTTAATGATAATGAATGATAACGGCATTATATTAATATGATACATAAATAGAATGGACGTTACGGGTAGAGTCCATCTATCCATAGAGTCTATTCTATTTATTTAGGTATAGGTAGGGTATAGAATTTTTATCGATATAATTTGGTACACTGTCTTATCCCTATTATTAGTTCCGTGGACATGCACTTCTGCTGTCAGCGCCAAAATGGCGGAAATCAAATCGCTTCAGCATGTCACGGTGTATAGCCAGTCCAGCGTACTTGTATATATAGAGGTCAGTGGTGGTAATGCATTATTTTAACTATTTTTACTGCGCACGAACTCATTCGTAAGGGTCGATCAGTAGACAAAAACGTTGTTGTCCATAAATCACATTCAATTTGGGATAATTTTAAATAAAAGGCTTATTTACTCGTAGTATTTTTAAAAACTGCAATAACAGTGTACATATTTATTTATAGTATATTTGGAGTTAAGACGAGCTCTTAGCACGATTTCAAATTCGTTTTTCACCCGCGCGTCCCGCAGTGGGCGGAGCGCAACCGGCTGTCGGAGAGCGCCGCGTGAACACAGTATGCGCAAAGCAAGCAGACAATTCACCTCCAAACAAAAACTTTTCCGTGAGGTTTACTGTTCTCAACACCACTAGGTATTAGTAATCATATTTTGAGAACCTACTCACTAAAATCAAAACTGTTTACAATATAGTTAGTCTGGACATCAACTACATTTTAATTATCAATATTTTTTTAAAGTCAGATGATATGAGCAGGTAGGTACTTAGTCTACTATTTACATACATAAACATTTAAAACGCCACCTCATAAATTCTAAAAAAAAACCAAGCTTCGTTTGCAAAATAGCTAAAATAAGAGAAAAAGAATAGTTTCAAATAAAACCATTAGAAAATTCAAATTTATTTTACTGTTTTCTATTACCTTACCTCCGGAATTGATGGAGTGACCTGAAGGTGTACTTTGGTAATCGGTATTGGAACTGGTCGCCGAGTACTACTAGGTGTGCCGAGTTTGGTCTCGTTTTATTAGGTATGACGAGCCCTTACCTTCGGACTTGATGGAGTGACCTGAAGGTGTACTTTGGCAATCGGCATTGGAACAGGTTGCTAAATACTACTA